AGTTGGGCTATAGGCATAATTATCGGCGATTTGTGAAAGTATCTAGGTGGCTATGAGATGTTGTAAAGGGAAGGATTTTACTTCAGAAAGTATCCAATACAGAAATTTTGTTATACATATACATTGAAAATGGGAGATGTCGATCCAAGGTCCATATCCGGGTATCCCAAAAAAATTTGATATTTTTAACCGAATTGATGTTTATTTGGATTTTCAGTAGTTGGAAAATCTTCCTACCAAAAATTATTAATATTGGTCCACTTTTCAGGGTAGCCCCGTACCTTCAGAATTTCTGTATCTTGGGGAACTTGAGTATATATTGCAACCAAATTGCCTGTAATTTAATATTTTGAGTTCTCATGGGATAGCAAATCGTCCTACCAAAAATTATCCATATCGGTCCACGTTTAGGTATATCTCCCACACAAAAGAACCCTCTTTATTTCGAATTTTGGGAATCTTGGATAGGTTGTCCACACGAATTACCTGTAAATTGTCATTTTGAATTATCATGGGACAGAAAACATCCCTACCAAAAATCATGAATATCGGCCCAGATTTAGGTATAGCTCCCACATAACAGTATCCCAAAATGTTCGAAGTTTGAGGATTTTGGTCACGTTTATCAACCGAATTGACAGAAATTTCGTATTTTAGCTTCTCATTGGATTGAAAATCTCGCTAACAAAAATTATAATTATTGGTCCACTTTTTAAGGTAGGTGGTACTTCCTCCTGCCAAAAATTATCAAGATCGGTCCATGTTTTGGTATAGCTACCATACAACGGCACCCCAAAATTTTTCGAATTTTGAGGATTTTGGGTACGTTTTCCTACCGAATTGTCTATAATTTGATATTTTGGGATCTCATGGGTCAACAAATCTCCATACCAAAAATTAGGCAAATCGGTCCATGTATATCCCATGGTATAGCTCCCACACAACAGTCCCCTTAATTTTTCGAATTTTGAGAATTTCAGTCAAGTTTTTTCAACCGAATTGTCTGCAATTTGATATTTAGAGTTCTCATTGGGTGTTACATCTCCCTACCAAAAATTATCCAAATCGGTTCACCTATAAGTATAGCTCCCACACAACGGTACCCTTAATTTTTCGAATTTTGAGAATATCAGGCACGTTTTTCAACCGAGTTGTCTGTAATTTGATATTTTGGGTTATCATGTGGTGGTACACCTGCCTACCAAAAATTATCAAAATCGTCCCACATTTTGGTTTAGCTCCCACATAAAAATACCCTCAATTTTTCGAATTTTGAGGATTTGGGCCACGTTTTTAAACGGAATCAACTGTAATTTGATATTCTGAGTTCTCATTGGGTGGTACATCTTCCTACCAAAAATTATACAAATCTGTCCACGTTTAGGTATAGCTCCCATATAACATTACCCTATATTTTTCGAATTTTGAGGAACTTGAGTACATTTTTCAACCGCATTGGTTGTAATTTGATATTTTGGAATCTCATGGGTCAACAAATCTCCATACCAAAAATTTTGCAAATCGGTCCATGTTTAAGTATAGCTCCCACACAACAATACCCTGAAAATTTCGAATTTTCAGGATTTTGGCAAAGTTTTCCAACCGAATTGTCTGTAATTTCATTTTTTGGGATCTCATGGGATGGCACATCTTCGTACCAAAAAGTATCTAAATAGGTTAACGTTTAAGTATAGCTCCCATATAACAGTACCCTACAATTTTACGAACTTTGAGGATCTAGGGCACGTTTTCAAACCGAATTGTCTGCAATTTGATATTTTGGGTTCTCAAAGGGTGATACATCTTCGTACCAAAAATTATCCAAATCGGTCCACATTTAGGTATAGCTTCTACATAAAGGTACTCTAATTTTTTAGAATTTTAAAGATCTTGGGTATATTTTTCTGCCGAATTGGTTGTAATTTTATATTTTGGGTTCTCATTGAGTAGAAAATCTCCCTACCAAAAATTGTCCAAATCGGTCCACATTTAGGTATAGCTTCCACATAAAGGTACCCTCAATTTTTCGAATTCTGAGGATTTTAGGTACGTTTTTCAACCGAAATTGTTGGAATTTAATATTTGGGGATCTCATGGTGTGTCAATTCTTCCTGCCAAAAATTATCAAAATCGGTCCAGGTTTAGGTATAGCTGCCACACCACAGAACCCTGAATTTTTCGAATTTTGAGAATATCAGGCACATTTTCTAACCGAATTGCCTGTAATTTGATATTCTGAGTTCTCATTGGGTGTTACACCTCCGTACAAGAAATAATACAAATCGGTCCACGTTTTGGCATAGCTCCCATATAACAGTACCCTAAAATGTTCGAATTTTGGGTATTTGAGTCACATTTTTGAACCGAACTTGCTGTAATTAGATATTTTGGGTTCTCATAGGTCAACAAATCCCCATACCAAAAATTATGCAAATCCGTCCACAAATAGGTATAGCTCCCACATAAAGATACCCTGAATTTTTCGAATTTTGAGAATTTTGGCCACGTTTTTCAACCGAATTGTCTATAATTTGATATATTGGATTCTCATGGGGTGCCAAATCTTCCTGCAAAAAATTATCCAAATCGGTCTATGTTTAGGTATACCTCCCACACAACAGTACCCTGTATTTTTCGAATTTTTAGGAGTTTCGTCAGGTTTTCCAACGGAAATGCCTGTAATTTGCTATGCTGAGTTCTCATTGGATTGTACACTTCCCTACCAAAAATTATCCGAAACGGTCCACATTTAGTTGTAGTCCCCTTTAAACCGTACCACCAATTTTCCGATTTTAGAAAATTTTGTTCGAGGTTTTCAACCTAAATGGCTGTAATTTGATATTTTGGGATCTCATGTGGTGTCAAACATTGTGAATATCGGAATTATTTTTTCCCTAATTTTTTTTTTAATTAAAGATTTTTTTTAATTATTTATAAATATATATTTTATTTAATGAAACACAAATATGTTTAACAAAAACAAAAGCTATGTGAATAATTTTGTTGTTGCAAATGTATATACGAATAAATAAGCGAAATTATGTGTATATTTAAATATATGTATATATAAAAACACAGTTCGAAAATACTTAAAATAATTAAACATTGAGTGGGGGTTTTCTTAATTTGTTTTTTCGCTTTTTTTCTACAAAAACATAATATTTATTATATAAATTAAATATTGTGCAAGGGTGTATTTGTTTTAAACAATTTTTTTTGTTTTTGTTTTGACAACATTGGAGGATACCTAAATAAATTGTGTTAAATGTGTTGTTGCGGTTATTTTCATAATTTAAATTAATTAAGAAATAAATTTATTAAAAAAATTATTTATAATAATAATTAAAATTATTATTAATTACATAAATTAAATTAAAAAAAATAATTATTAATTTTAAAAGAAAAAAATGAAACTAAATTGAAAACATTAAATTTTGGAATGTAAAATCTCTTACACACACACTGACTCACAACATTTTTACATTAAAAAAAAAAGATGCACACACACATGCAGACAGGCACATTCAGACAGACAGACAGACCACATCTCTAGACATTTTTTGTTTGTTTTTTCTTCTTCCTTTTCTTTATATACATTTTGTGTAATTTGTTCCTTAATATTTAATTTGTTTGAATGTATACATATGTATATATAGGCGTTAATAAATCTCAACATAAAAAAATAAATTTATATAAATTATAAAAAAAAATATTTTTTATTAAATATTTGTTGTTAGACAAAGTCCATGGTGATGATGTTGTCGATGGTGTTGATGTTGTCGATGGTGATGATTATCTGTTTTGTCCTCCATTTCTATCCTCTCGCCCCTTCTGATCCATTACAAATCCTTTGTACAATTATTACCATTGTCCAGTAGACGCTGATAATACCATTCACCACCACCACCACCTCCCATCAAGTCGTGGTGGAGGTGTTCATGAGGCCGGTGTCAGTGTCGCGACATGGTGCCAAGGCGATACCATTCAATAATTTCTTTACGTAAATCATATTTACGCAAATCGATTTTAAAGCCACCTAGCAGCTCGTTTTCCTGCAGGGTATCATGGGACCATACGGTGACATGTAATTCACGATTTTGTATAATCTCCAGAGGCATGCGATATTCCAACTAGAAGAAAAAAAATAAAAAAGTGTTAAAAATCCGCAAAATTCGGAAATTTTAGGATATTGTTATATGGGACCTAAAACTAAACATGCACCGATATTAATAATTTTTGGTAGGAAGCTGTATCACCCAATCAGAACCCAAAATATCAAATTACAAACAAATCGGTTGAAAAAAGTGCAGAAAATCCTTAAACTTCGAAAAATTTTAGGTATTTTTATATGGGACCTATACCTAAACGTGGCCCGATATAGATAATTTTGGGTAGGATGATTTACCACCCAATGAGAACCCAAAATATCAAATTACAGAAAATTCGGTTGAAAAACGAGACAGAAATCTACAAAATTCGTAAAATTTTAGGTATTTTTTATATGGGGCCTATACCTAAACGTGGGCCGATTTTGATCATTTTTGGCATGAAGGTTTACCAACCAAAGAGAACCCAAAATACGAAATTACAGACAATTCGCTTGAAAAACTTGCCAAATGTCCAACAAAATTCGAAAATTGAGGACAACATTACATGGGAACACTACCTAAACATGGACCGATTTTGATCATTTTTGGCATGAAGGTTTATCAACAAAAGAGAACCCAAAATATGAAATTACAAACACTTCGATTGAAAAACGAGACCAATATCTTCAAAATTCGAAAAAGTGAGGGCAACGTTACATGAGAGCAGTGCCTAAACATGAACCGATTTTGAAAATTTTTGGCATGAAGGTTTATCAACCAAAGAGAACCCAAATATAAGATTACAGACAATTCGCTTGAAAACCGAGACCAATATCCTCAAAATTCGAAAAATTGGGGGTACAATTACATGGGAGCTATACCTAAATATGAACCGATTTTAATCATTTTTGGTGGGAAGTTGTGTGACCCAATGAGAATTCAGAATATAAAATTACAGCCGATTCAGTTTAAAAACGTGGCTAAAATTTTCAAAATTTGAAAAAATCAGGGTACTGTTGTATGGGGGCTATAATTAAACGTGGACCGATTTGAACAACTTTTGGTAGGAAAATGTACCACCCAATCAGATCCCATCTTATCAAATTACAGACAATATGATTTGATAATGAGATTATTTTTCTAAAAATTCGGAAAATTTGGGGAACACTTACATGGGAGCTATACCTAAATGTGGACTGATTTTAATCATTTTTTGTAGGAAGGTGTGCCACCCAATGAGAACCCAAAATATCAAATAAGAGCCAATTTGGCGGAAAAACATATCAAAAATTCGGAAAATTGGAGGATACCTTTGTATAGGGGCTTTGCCTAAACTTGTTCGGATATTGTTAATTTTTGGTAGAATGATTTACCACCCAATGAGAACGCATAGTATCAAATTACAGCCAAATCGGTTCAAAGTCGTGTCGAAAATTCCCAAAAATCGGAAAATTTGGGGTATTTATATATGGGAACTATACCTAAATGTGAACCGATATTCATAATTTGTGGTAGGAATATTTGGCACCCAATGAGAACTTAAAATATCAAATTACAGCCAAATCGTTTGAAAATCATGCCCAAGATCCTCCAAATTCGAAAAAATAAGGGTCACTTTATATGCCAGCTATACCTAAAATTGGGCCGATATTGTTAATTTTTGGTAGGTAGATTTACGACCCACTGAGAACTCAAAATATCAAATTACAGGCACTTCCCTTGAAAAAGTGCTGTAAATCATTTAAAGTCTGAAAATTTGAGGGTGCAATTACATGGAAGATATACATAAACCTGCAAAACATTTTGATAGGAAGCTTTTTTATTCAATTCGAAACCAAAATATGAAATTTGAGCAAATTCGGTTGGAAAACGATGTCAAGATCCTTAAAATTCGAAAAATTTAGGGTACCATTATATGGGGGGTACACCAAAACATGGACCGATTTTGATCATTTTTAGTAGGAAGTTTAGCTACCCAATGAGAACCAAAAATATTGAAATAAAGTCGATTCGGTTGAAAAATAAAACCAAGATCCTTAAAATTCGGAAAATTGGATAATGGGGCCCATACCTAAATATGGTCCCATAGTGATCATTTTGAAGTGGTATGATTTGCCACTCCATGAGAAAACAAAATATGAAATTTCAGCTAATTTAATTGAAAAACGAACCCAAAACCCTCAAAAAATGCTACATCTTATTTTTTAGGTTATATCAGAATCTGTCAATATCCTCCCTCCATCCCCTTCTTACCGTTTCCATATAACTGGGAACACAAGTTTTACGCACCACCTTCGTCTTACGCTTGGTGGCCTTTTTGTCGTCCGGTTTCAGATAGCATTTGACATAGGTATTGGGCTCCTGGCCACCGGCCAGCAAGGGCAGGCCCTTGGCGTGATGTATCTGAAAAGAGGAAAGAAAAAGTTTTCAAAATTAGAAAAATCGGACTAATATCAGTTGTAAAAATTTCCGCTTACCATAACAGTCAAAACTTCTCTTCGATATTGCATGGATAGTTTGAGTTGGCCCACCTCATTAGGTTGTTCGCGTGATGTTTGGGGTTTGATCTCTGCCAAAAAATACTTGTTAATATCTCTCCTTCGTATCCAAAAGTTTCCAAAAAAAAACTTACCCTTAACCTTCGACATATTTAGATTAGCCTCTTTTTGATCTCTCAGCAGTGGATGGAAGAAGGTGTATACCAAATCCGAATGGGCAATTTCATCGGCTGAATTGAATAATGAGATTAGGAACTGTCGGATTTCCGGTAGACGCCTTTCGGCAACCGATTTAACATTGGACCGGCCCACATGCATGCCGCTGGGTAAACTGGAGGTAAGAAATAAAAAATAGTTAATATTAGAGATTTAAATTCAGCAACGATTTCTATGTCATACGGTTGAAAAACGTGCCAAGAATCCTGAAAATTCGAAAAAATTTGGGGTATCCTTATGTGGAAGCTATACCTAAAAGTGAATCGATATTTATAGTTTTTGTAGGCAGATTTGGTAATCAATGAGAAGCCAAAATACCGAATTACAGCCAATTCGGTAGAAAAACGCGATAAGAATTCGGGTACCCTTGTGTGGGAGCTATACCTAAACGTTGACCGATATTGATATTTTTTGGTAAGATGATTATCTACCCCTTGAGAACCCCAAATATCAAATTACTACCAATTCGATTGAAAAACGTGTCTGAAATCCTCAAAAATCGAAAATTTGATGATAACTTTATATGGGGGCTATACCTTAATGTGGACCGATATTGATAATTTTTGGTAGGAGGATTTGCTTACCAATGAGAATCCAAAATATTAAATTAAAGCTCAATCGGTTGAAAAACGAGACCAATACCCTAAAACTTCGAAAATTAGAGGTTATATTTATGTGAGAGCTATACCTAAACGTTGACCGATATTAATAAATTTTGGCAGGAAGATTTGCCAACCGATGAGAACCCATAATACCAAATTACAGCAAATTCGATTGAAAAACGTGCCTGAAATCTTCAAAATTCGTAATATAGAGGGTATGTTTATATGGGAGCTATACAAAAACGTTGACCGATATTGATAATTTTTGGTGAGGAGGTTTGCCACATAATGAGAATCTAAAATACTAAATTACAGGTCATTCAGTACAAAAACGAGCCAGAAATCCTCAAAAATTCGAAAAATATGGTTACCTCTATGTGGGAGCTATACGTAAAAGTGGACCGATATTAATAATTTTTGGTAGGGAGGTTTGCCACCTAATGAGAATCCAAAATATGAAATTACAGGCAATTCCGTTGAAAAACTTTATAAATTTTCAAACTTCGGAAAATAAGAGGTAGCTATATGTGGGAGCTATATCAAAACGTTGACCAATATTGATCATTTTTGGTAAGGAGGTTTGTCTCGCCACGAGAACCCAAAATAATTAATCACAGGTCATTCGGTACAAAAATCCTCAAAAAAATCGGAAAAAATCTGTATGGGAGCTATATATAAAAGTGGACCGATATTTATAATTTTTGGTAGGGAGGTTTGTCACCTAATGCGAACCCAAAATACAAAATTTCAGCCAATTCGATTGAAAAACAAGATACAAATTCTCAAACATCGAAAAATAAGGTGTAACCTTATATGGGAGCTATACTCAAATATAAACCGATATTAATCATTTTTGGTAAGGAGGTTCGCCACTCTATGAGAACCCAAAATACCAAATTACAAACAATTCGATTGATAAACATGCCTAAATTTCTCAAAATTCGAAAATTTGAGGGTATCTTTATACCGATATTGATAATGTTTTGTAGCATTGTACTATCGCGCTCTCTTTATTCAATCACCAAATATTAAGAGAAACCACCCAACATTTGATTTTTCAATGCAAAACTTTATCAGCAATCATCAGGTGGCTGATAAAAAAAACACCGAACCTACAAGCAGAACCGCCGCACTGATATCTGTTATACAAAAATAAAAACAACAAAAACATGATGAAGAGTTCATAAACAGAGTACTTTTTTTCTAACTGAACTGAGGGTAAAAACCCATAGCTATATTGGAGAAGACGGTCAATAGACGTTTTGCCGTTTCCGAATCGGAAAAAACGGGGTGTATCGGTCGGTTTAACGCATGTTGGATATTTTTTGAGGAGAAAAAAATTGTTTCAATAAAAAAAATTACAAATAAATAAACGACGACAATCATCGAAACGAAAAGAAAATAAAAGTTTTCAAACAGTGGAGAAGAAGAAGCAAAAAAATCGAAATTGAAATCAAATGTGTGATAAGGCCATGATAAAATTCTTATAGGCAAGGTAGTAGGCAGAGAGCAAGGAAGAATATCGAGAAAAAAGAAGAAGAAATTGAAAATAAGAAAAAAATAGTGGTAAAAAATAATGGCAAAAATTAATTTCAATCAGCAAGGTATGAATGAAGAAGCGAAGTGAAAAAAATATTCAAATTTAAAAAAAACCAAAAATTGAAAAAAAAAAATTCCAAATTTAAAAAAAATCCAAATTTTAAAAAAAATTTCAAATTAAAAAAAAAATTTAAAAAAAATTAAAAAAAAAAAAAAATTTTGTAAAAAAAAATTCAAATTTAAAAAAAAAATCAAATTTTGTAAAAAAAATCAAATTTTGTAAAAAAAAATCCAAATTTTGTAAAAAAAAAATCCAAATTTAAAAAAAAATCAATTTTTTTCAAAAATCCATTTTTTTAAACATTCAAATTTAAAAACAAATCAATATTTAAAAAAATCTTCAAAATTTTGTAAAAAAAATCTCTATTGCCTTTCAAGATCCCGCGTACTCCCCCGCTGCCCTCCTCGCCACCCTGGGCGTATTTGTGTGTTTAATCTTCTCTGTGGTGGGCATAAAGTTATGGTGGTTTAAACGCCGTTTGGAATTCGATCAGACCATAACACAAAATGGAGCTGCCGGTGGAACACCGCCACAGGTTGTGGTCACCAGAAGGGAAAAGAAAAGCAAGTTCTCCAAAGACAAAAGATGGTCACAACAGGTGAGTCGAAGGAGAAAAAAATTCTCAAAATTCGAAAAGGGGGAAAATTAGAAAAAAATCCCCAAATTTGGAAAATTAGCAGTAACCTTATGTGGGAGCTATACTTAAACGCTGAGCGATATTAATAATTTTTTGTAGGGAGGTTTGCCAACCTATGAGAACCCAAAATACTAAAAATTAGGTCATTCGGTACAAAAACGTGACAGAAAACCTCAAAATTCGAAAAATAAGGTGGAACCTTATATGGGAGCTATACTCAAATGTAAACCGATATTAATAATTTTTGGTAGGAGGGTTTGCTACCCAATAAGAATCTCCAATATCGAATTCGAGGTCATTCGATACCAAAACGTGCCACAAATTCTCAAAATTTGAAAAATTAGGGGTACCCTTATGTGGGAGCTATACTTAAACGTTGACCGATATTAATAATTTTTGGTAGGGAGGTTTGCCAACCTATGAGAACCCAAAATACTAAAAATTAGAACATTCGGTAGAAAAAAGTGCCAGAAATCCTCAAAATTGGAAAAAAAAATTGGCTACCTCCATGTGGGAGCTATACGTAAAAGTGGGCCGATATTGCTAATTTTTGTTAGGAGGGTTCGCTACCCAATAAAAATCACCAAAATCAAATTCGAGGTTATTCGGTACAAAAACGTACCAGAAATCTTCAAAATTCGGAAAATTAGGGGTACCCTTATGTGGGAACTATACTCAAATGTAAACCGATATTGATAATTTTTGGTAGGGAGGTTCGGTACCCTATGAGAAATCAAAATACAAAATTACAAGTCATTCGATACAAAAAACGTGGCAGAAATCCTCAAAATTCGAAAAATACATGGTTACCTCTATGTGGGAGCTATACGTAACAGCGAGCCGATATTAATAATTTTTGGTAGGGAGGTTTGTCACCTAATGAGAACCCAAAATACCAAATTAGAGACAATTCGGTGGAAAAAACAAGACCAAAATCAAACAAAGTTCGAAAAATTAGAATCCAATTTGTTTTCATATTGGGGTCCCTATTTAAATTCCAATTGGAATCCAACTAGTTTTCATGTTGAGGTAGCAGCCCCATTGCCTTTAGGGCTGCTGAGGTGCCAGGCGTTGCCCAAGTATGACTCGAGTCGTTGCGAATCCTAGAGACCCCATTTAATTTCCAATTGGAATCCAATTAGTTTAATTTAATTTTTTTCTTATTTTTGTTTTTTTCCTTTTGTAATTAAATTAAACTTGTCTAATTAAAATAAAAACCCTGCCTCCATTTGGCCTTACTAAAATGACAGTCACTCAGTCAGTCACTCACTCATAAAAAATAGCAACAATAAAAACTATCATATTTTTTGTTCTATATATAGATAAGATTTTTTATATGATGGCTGGCTGGTTGGTTCGGTTGATGGTTTTGGTTGCGGTTACGGTGTTTAACGCGTAGATGACGCATTGAATTTTTGAGCGAATGTCGTCTTCTTCTATCAATTTGTGTGGTTGTTTGTTTTGTTAAAAAAATATTATTTAACTCCAGCAGCATGGAGGAGTTCGAACATAAAACAGATACGTTTTTCTCTCAGATATTTGTTTAAAATAACAAAAACAATAGCATCAGAAAAATCAAATAACAAACAAAAAAACAGACACCTTATATGGCGAGCTATACCTAAAAGTGAAGCGATATCGGTAATTTTTTGCAGGAACAGTTGTCAACCAAAGAGAACCTGAAATATCAAAATATAGCCAATTCGCTTCAAAAAACGTATCTAAAAATCTCAAAATTCGAAAAATTAGAGGTAAATTTAGGTGGGAGCTATACCTAAACGTTGATCGATTTTGAAATTTTGTTTCATACGGAGGTTTGCCACCCTGTGAGAACCCCCAATATAAAATTCCAGGTCATTCGGTTGAAAAACGTGCCAGAAATCCTCAAAATTCGAAAATTTTCCGGTGCTTTTAGGTGGGAGCTATTCCAAAACGTTGACCGATATTGATCATTTTTGGTAGGGAGGTTTACCACCTAATGAGAATCCCCAATATCAAATTCGAAGTCATTCGATACAGTAACGTGCCAGAAATCCGCTAAATTCGAAAAAATATGGTTACCTTTATGTGGGAGCTATACGTAACAGTGGGCCGATATTAATAATTTTTGGTAGGAAGGTTTTCCACAACCCAATATCAAATTCGAAGTCATTCGATTGAAAAAGAAGACCAGAATCTACAAATTTCGAAAAATTAGGGGTACCCTTGTGTGGGAGCTATACCTAAACTCTGACCGATATCGATAAATTTTGGTAGGAGGATTTACCACCCAATGA